CGCCTTGTCTTCCAGTGCCCGGGGCGCTTAGGGAGGCCTCCCGGAGCTGGACTGCAGGATGGAAAGGAAGAGGCGACTCAAAAATCTGGCCGGATTTTTGCAGCCGCCGTCTGGTAGCCGCCAGTTAGAGTAACTCAATAAGGAGACGCGGGCACTCTGCCCATATGTCCATAAGGCCTGCCCGCCTTTTATTCTTCTCTGCCCCAAATCGGGTCCTGTGGAGTCTGGCCGTGTGACCCATCGGCAGAGAGGATACTAGTCAAACTCGGTAAGGTGCCTGCTGCTCTAGTCCCACAGAAAGGCGCTGGAAACCGGAGGTCTTTCTGCGTGGCAACCAAGAAGGGGGAAATCTAGAGGCGGGGGCGGCCTTGATGTCCCCTCCACTGGCCTGGTCCCCGAGAGGGAGAACTCCGCGACGGCAAAGCCGACGCCTTTGCACCAGGATAGGGGAAGAGAAGAGGCGACTGTCTGGCGGTCGAAAGCCCCTCCACCTCCTGGAAGCGCGTAAGACCCTTGGAAAACTGCTCGCCCAGAAAGCTGGAGGCCGGGGAGGCTTAGCCAGGCGGCAAATCCTTGCCTGTTCTTGGCGAAGCACGACCCGGCGCTCCGAGGACCCGTTTGGCAGCTTTGGAGAGGTGGAGGGGGCAAAGCAGGCAGGCACGGCTGTTTAGGAAGGGAAGGAGAGGGAGAACGGCGTTCACTCTGGCCCACCGCGAAGCCTCAGGCAACAGATGTCCAGCAGAACACCACGTTCCTCCTTGCTCGAGAGCCGGGCAGCAAAGAGGCCGGCGACACCAGCCAGTGCAAAATACACAGGAGATGGCTTAGCTGAAAACCCGGGAGAAGAGAACCACCTGCCCGCTTGCTTATTTAGGTGCACGGATGCGGGCAGGTGCCCAGCAGGCTGGCAGTCCGTCTGTCACGTGGCGGAAAGGCGGGGAAAGTTGAAGGACCTTCCTCTGGCGACTGGTTGGAGAACAAAGGCAGCCCATGGCTCTTCGGTGCCTTGAAGGGGACTCCGACGAATTCAGTTCTGATGCGTTAGAGCAGTGTTTCTCAACCTTGACCATTTTAAGGCATGTGGACTTCAACTCCCAGAATTCCACAGCCAGCATGGCTGGCTGTGGAATTCTGGGAGTTGAAGTCCACATGCCTTAAAATGGTCAAGGTTGAGAAACACTGCGTTAGAGCTCCATGAAGTTCAGCTTTCTTCTCGGTATCCGGGCCCAGCCTGTGGAAGCCCCTGGGAAAAAGTTGAGCGCGGTTTCTTATGTGTGTGGGGAGTGGGGGCGAGAGTATTGGAGCAGTTGACCTCGGTCCCTTTTGCAGCACCTCCTGTAAATAAACTCCCTGAGCAGAGCGGCTCGTCCCGATCTCAGCACTGTAAGAAGTCCATTTCAAAATTGCTCGAGGCTGACAAATTTGGAAGACCTCGACTTGTCACCTGTGGCAAACAGGTGCTCTGCTTTCCTTCCTCTTTTGCTTTGCTAGAGCTGCCCCAGCTACCTCTGTCTTAGACCCCTCGTATTTTTTTTCTCACCTGCGGGTGGATGGGTGTAACTCAAGGTGGCCAACGTATCTAATCCCTCTGCCTCTTTTTCCATCACAACAACCTTGTTAGGCTGACAGGGAGTCACTCAGCCCGCTTTCGTGCCAAGGACGGGACTAGAACTCACAGACTCCTGGTTTCTAGGCTAGTACCTTAACCGTTAGACTAAACTGGCTCTCACGTGAATTCCTCTTTCGCGCGCTTTTCCTCTCCTGCTAAGCTTGGGGATCCTGGCCTCCTGGTGATGAAAAGAGGTGGGAACGTAGAAGCGTTTTTTGCTCCTTCCACTTTTTAGATGCGCACAACCTTCGCGCGCGCGCGCGCGCATATCCTGCCCCTTCTCTCTCTCTCTCTCTCTCTCTCTCTCTCTCTCTCTCTCTCTCTCTCTCTCTCTCTCTCTCTCTCTCTCTCTCTCTCTCTCTCTCTCTTACACACACACACACACACACACTCAATCATTCTTTCTCCACTCTCCCCTCTCCCCTCCAGCCCCTCCTGTTGAATCGAAGCTCTTTTGTACCAAAGGAAGAACGCTGAGAAGCAATGATCAGATTTTATTGTGTTTTTTTTTTTTAATTCTTGGTCCAAACCATAACGAGGAGCTGAAAATCCCCGCATCCAAAAATCGGCTGTCTGCAAAGCGCAGGTTGCTCAGAGGGCTCGGATTTGTTTACACACGGAGATCCCAAACAGTATTCAGAGCGGGGAGGGGCATGGGGAAAAAAAATGGAGGGGAGAGAAGGAGATTTGATTGTTACCTCTCAGTCTCCAACTTTTCCAAGTTTCTCTCTGTTACCTGAAGGGAGATGTAAACCTCCAGACATAAATACCTTTGTTTCTACATCTTGTCTATTTCCCACTGGGAATCCAGAGTTTCTATCAATCTCTCATCACTGAACTCAGATTCATAACTTCTTCTCCCTCCCCCCAACCGCTGGGACTAATATCGCCAGTGGCTTCGGTTCTGTTGAACCCTGAGCTGCCTGAATGACTTTATTTCTATGAGCATCCCCCGTCAGTAGAATATAGAGCGGCTAAAGCTGACGTGGAACAAGTTGTTGAACCACCATATCTAGAGTTCCAAACTTCGGACAACCACTAGGTGGCAGCAGAGAGATTACATATTGCTCATAGCCTAGAGAGGTTCAACAGGATTTGTGCAGAAAATCAGTAGACCTGCTGGCAATGAAGAAGCATTAACTCAAAATTGGGTAGGGAATGGAAAGGGAGGGAAATAGCCCTCCAGGCATCAAATATGGAATCCAGTTAAGAATACTTCTTCTCTTTTAAAAGGGGGGACTCTAGAGTAAGTGGATCCAAAAATTCTTAGACGCACAGTTTTGAAAAGCGTTGACTGAGCACAAGTATTTGGAACTGAGCAAACCTCAAAATCTTGGATCTTAGATGGAAAGAAGAACTGTTCTACTTGGCTAGATAACTACATCACTATTATATCCTCACTTATATAGGCCAGTATTTTCGAACTTAGCAACGTTAAGATGTGTGGACTTCAATTCTCAGAATTTCCCAGCCAGCTTTGAGAAACACGAGATAGGCCATTCATACATCTACATTTATCAGGGTTTATTTTTCCTGAATCCCTGAAAAGCACCTTAGTCCTTTAGCTTTTGGAACAGAGCAGAACCAACCCCAGCTTTATACAGAGACAAAAAAAGTTTAGTCCTAGGTACAATTTCATATCTGCATCCAGGCCTACTTGTTTGGTCTCTGGATACCTTTGTCTATTCAGCAGCTTCTGCAGCTCCAGATAAAGTCCTCAATTGCCAGCCAGCGAGAAATAACAATTAAGCCAACATTAAGGATAATTCTCTAGCCTCCACCATCTCTCATATACGAATCCCTCCCCATACCCTGGGTGTCAAGTGGTGGAGGATCCTTTAGCAGCTGCGTGGGGGGGGGGACTAACAACCCAGTCTTTTCAATAATAAGCACTATTGTGAGTTCCGTGTAATTTCCATCAGCCTCTCTCACTCTTGGGCTGATAGAATATACCCTGAGATCTATGGGACTAAACCTCAAAGCAATTGCAACTGCCTTTGTTTAATGCAGCTTAGGTGGCTGGGCTATAAAAGAACAGAACGCTTTCCCCCCAAAATCTTTAGATCCATCTTCTGCGCAGGCTCAACCCTTCCATTCTATTCTATTCCACGTTAGAAAGTTATTACAAATTGCCACCCCTGTACAGCTGCAGGGGATTTAAATCGGCCCTTTCGAAATAAATGTTTCTTCTCTGTTCCCTGTTCCCTAGGAGGACGCGTGTGGACCAGCCTTTCAAGTAATGCCCAACTATTTTTTTTTAATGGGCACTCTAACTTTGCCTATGATTTCCTCAATATCTGAAGCCTCCCCCCCCCCAATGACCTATTTTATCGGCTCTTAAATTTGCCAGACCATTTCCAAACTCCAGGCTGACAGGTAATGTGTGAACGTTATAGGGGGTCTCACCTCTGCGCACATACACCTCGTCTTACTCTTGCTGACAAATATTAACCTGCTGCCAATTTTCCTTTAAGTTGAAGAGGGGGGGGGAGAGAAAAAGAAAAGAAACATGTAATTGATGTTATCCCGAGAAAGCGCCGTCTCCACCCCTTTCACTTCCCAACCCTTCAGGTACAAGGAGCGAGCGAGCGAGCAAGAATCTCTCAAGACCTTTAAAAAAAAAAAAAAATCTCTCGCCTTCTTGTGGGCGCTTTTTTTTCCCCCTTCTATTTTGCCTTCTTCAGGGTTAAAACATCGGAAGGCGAGCTTCTCCCGCCTCGACCAATCAGGACTCAGCGCTGGCAGCTATAATATAGAACTAGAGCCAGGCTTCACTCACAGGCGTTTCAGCTCCCATTAGATCCCAGGGACCCGTCTTTATTATTTCACTTCGTTTCCACCGTCGCTTCCCCACCTTCCCGCTCCGGGTCCCCTCCTGCCTTCTACGCGCCACGATCCTGAACTCCGATGAGTCCCGTTATCGCAAGCGCCCTCCAAGATGCACCTGCCTTGCTAGAGATCGGGGGCTAAGTCACCGAGAGGAGAGGAGAGGAGAGGAGAGGAAGAGGAGGAGGAGGCGGGCAGGCAGGCAGGCAGGCAGGCAGGCAGCAAGCAGGAGACAAGGAAGGGAGAAGTCAGGAGCCGAGGGAAGAGGGCAACTGCCGGGCAAGAAAGCAGCAGCGGGCGCGCTCTCTGCCACTCACCCGCACTCACCCGCGCCGCGAGCCGGCAGAGCGCAGGGGGCGGCGAGGGGGGAAGCCGAAGGGGACGCTTGTTCCGTGGACGGCATGCTACTCCTCCGAAGAACTGGGCTCCTCCCGCTCTGCCTAGGCGCGCTTTTCCTCTCCGCCGGGCTGGCTTGCGGGCCGGGCCGGGGTTTCGGCAAGAGGAGGCACCCGAAGAAATTGACCCCTTTAGCCTACAAGCAGTTCATCCCCAACGTGGCCGAGAAGACGCTGGGCGCCAGCGGCAGATACGAGGGCAAGATCAGCCGGAACTCGGAGCGCTTTAAAGAGCTGACCCCCAATTATAATCCGGACATTATTTTTAAGGACGAGGAGAACACGGGAGCCGACCGGCTGATGACCCAGGTCAGAGACGCGCCCTTCGCCTCTTGCCGACCTGCTCGCCTTCCGGCCTGGGGAGGGGGAGCGGGCTGTAATCCGGCAGCATCGCCTCCCTCCGGGGCTCTCAGCTTCCCAGGGCGTCGCCGACTCCGGCCCCCAGGAGCTGTCGGGGGAAGGGATGCGCCGGGAAGGGGGCCCCTTGGGGATAGCATCGGCAGGTCTGTTGACGCGACCTTCCGCCTCGGAGGGAGGAGGCTCCGCGTGTGAAGACGGCAGCCTGAGATTGCAGGCAGAACTGCTCTTGGCCGCTCCCTGCCACCGTGTTGGTTAGCTGGCGGCTCTGGCGGTTGCTTGAGTCAGACTCCTCTACTAGCACCACCGCCGGTCTCTCCCCACGCCCGCCTGCCCGCCCACGGGAACTCTCCCGTTCCCTTCGGAGACAGAAACCGCCCAGCTCCACTTGTCTATCTAACCAGTTTGTTTTAGATTAACCACCTTTCCCCGTCGCCCCGCACAAGCCGTGAGGATGGCGGTCAGAACCTGGCCCCTCCCCGGGGCGATTCTGAAGTCCAAGGAGGAGGAGGAGAATTGTCAAAGGCGGCCTCCGCCAGGCCTCTCTTCGGTAACTGTGTCTGAGAGCGCATTGATCGCCTTTAAAGATGCTCACGCTTCGCCCTCCGCCCCAGACCGGTGATACCACTCGAGAGGGAAGGACGGGGAACTTAATCTGCACAGTAAGCCCCGGGAAGGAAGATCGCGGGTTGCGAGTCCACCTCTCACGACCTCCCCCTCGATAAACGAGGACTAAAAATAGCACCCATTAACCGCCCACCCTCGATCCTTCGATCTGCTTTCCGGGCGAAAAATGACCGAAAGCTGATTCGTCCAGGGAAAAGTCTGCGAATCAGGCTCTGCTCCACCTCCACAGTTCGGGCGGTCCTTCAAATTCACCACCACGCCGCCGGCCTCGGGCGATTGCCGTCGGTGGCGTCCCCTTCCGAAAATAGGTCAGCTGCCTTTCCTTCCCCGACCCCTCCCGCTATTCCGAGGCTTAAGCCCCACCTTCAGCACCAGAGAACCAGCTCAATTCCGCCCGAGTCGCCCCTGGAAGGGCGGATGGGCTGCAGCGCACTTCTCGCCTCTTTGCTTCGGCGAGGAGTTCGCTTAGGGCGACGGGAAGCGCGCCCGCCCGCCCGCCCGCCATCTCCATCCGACCACCTTAAATCTCACGGGACCTGGGAAGGTTGGAAGCGCGCGCGGCGCTGAGGCGCGCGACGCGAGTTTCAACAGATGCCGAGGCCGCCACAGCGCTGCCTCCAGGAGAGCAAAGGCGCCCGAGAACAGAAGGCGCTTGTCAGAAGGCAGGCGAGGCGCCGGTGGGGCCAGCGCCACTGGGGAACCCTTAAGCTCCCAGGTGGCGTTCGCGCCCTCCTGGCTTTCCTGTGGCTGCGTCCTGCCCCTCCGTTTCCACACACACACCCCCATCCACTCATCTGCAAAGACGCGCGAGCCAGGTTAGCTGTGTGGCTGCAACTCAACCGCAGCCCGCGTTTTCAGCTCCACTTACTCCTCTCCGATCGATCGCCAGGGCTCGGGTGTCAGCCTGGAGCCTGGCTACAGGCGGCCGGAGAGGCTGCGAGCTCCTGGCGGAGCCGGCAGTGACGCGGAAGCTCCAGGAAAAGCCTTGCAGCGGCCGCTGCTCTGCGCGGCAGGGAGTCCTGCGCGTGCGCCCCCGCGCGCGTCTGCCTCTGCCGGCGCAGATCACTTTCCTTCGCGTCCCACCGACAACCTGAGCAGGGCAAGGGAAATGCACCTGGGAGGTGCTACCGGGTGCTTCTCCTGGGGAACCCGCCTGGAAGCTCCTTCCAGGTGTACGGGACTTTTACGCCAGTGCTAGTGAGGTGGGGATGAATGGGAGTGTAATCTGAACAGTCTGGGAAAGAAAGGAGAAGATAGATCTGGAAGGGGCGTAAATTCAGAACTAGTGGCCTGGATTTGTGGGGTTAAAGGTGGAGAGAAGAAAAGCAACGGAGAGGACTGAGAACCGCAGCCCCCTCTGCCAGCAGCCTTTCCCGTTCTTCCCCGCCCCCGCCCCCCGCCGCGCTTCCCGCGCGCCTTGGAGCTCCCTTGTTTGGTGGAACGAGGCACCTGCAAGGCAAGACTCTCCACATCCCGGCTTCTCCATGGCCGGCCTCCTTGGCAGCGTTCTCTGGCAGCCTTTGAACTTATGACCTTCCGCCAACTTCCCCCAGACGCAACAAACACCGTGCCCCGGCCCCAGCCCCGCCAAGCTAGACACGCTCCCGGGAGCTTCCCATCGCGTCTCGCCTCGCTTCTTTCCGGATTCTTCGGCCGCTCAGGGCGGAAAGGTAGTTTCGCTCCGGGGCAGACTTTGGGGACGGAGGCTGGAGGAAGGGGACGCTCGGGGAGGCTGGCTGACCCGGGCGCGAAGGCAGAAAAGGAGGAGGCGACCCTTAGCGCCTGAGGTGATGGGGGGGGGGAGATTGGCTAACAGAGAACGCAGCTTGGCGGCGGAAATATAGCTGGGCGGCCCCGGGCCCTTCGTCTCCGCCTTGACCCTTGTCTCGCGGCCGGGCCGGGCAACTTGGACCAGGCGGTCTCCCTCCTGGGGCGGGGCCGAGCGGGGAGGAGGACGCCTTTTCGGCAGAGAAGCGTTCACTTTTCCAACCATCAGACGCCGCTGCTAGTTAATATTAACTGGATGAGGGGTGGAGAAAGAGGCAAAACCCTGCAGAGCGGGGAGGGGGTTTCTCTTGGCAGGTGACAGCGGCCTTCTAACCTCTCCCTACGCGCCTTACTTTGGCTAGATCTGTGGGGGACATAAGGGTGCCAGACCAGAGCTGGAATTCGTCTGGAAAAACGGGCCCTGTCTCAGACCGCTGGGAGGAAGGCAGTACAGTCCTTTCGGGGCTTGAGGGGCGCGGGGGGGGGGCAGGGCGGGAGAGTCCCGCTCAACCAAAGGGATGGAGGCCGCACCCGATTGGATTTATTCCAGAAGAGACACACCACGCGTGCCGCTTTTCTTCTGAGCAAAGGGGGAGAGAAAGTGCAAAGCGCCGTTGCAGGACGGCACCCTGGAAAAGGCAGGGGTAGCTGCATGATCCCGGGAATTGTGTAGAAGGTCAGTTTAGATCCCACAACTCGGCCCTTTTCTGCCCGAGCCATCCTGCAAAAAGAAAGGATCGGGCAGGTAAGACGTCTTGGAGAAGCGATGGAAGCCAAAGGGGCTCAGTGTTGCCGTCTTTGCGGGTGCGGATTTTGACCCCCAATAAGCCGGCTCTGTAGATCTTTCCTTCCCCTCTCCTCGCCGGCGAAGTTCCCTCCGTGAGCCCGAGAACCCCGAACTGCTGAGCTCCCTGGCTCTTCCTCCAGTCCAGCCGTGCGCCTTGGGCAACCGGCGTCGGATTCTTCGTAGCCCCAGACATTTCGGCTCTTTGGACGCTCACGGAAGAAGCGCAGGTATGGGGGGGTCAGTTTCTGCTGTCTAGTTCCACCCGGTCGGCAGAGATCCGTTGGTGCGGTGAAGGGATAGGAAAACCCACTCGTGCTTCTGCTTACCTGTCCACGTAGTCACCTTCCCAGCAGCAGCCTTCTGACATAAAGGTGATGGTTATAACTTAAATCTCCCCCTGCTACCCCAAAAAAGACGTCACTCTTAAAACAGCTGTAGGCAGCAGCGTTTTCTAAAACTGTTTAGATGCACCTATCTTGGCCAGCCTTCGTTCAATAAGATGGCAACTACAAGTTCCAGAATGCCCAGGCATTTGGAAGTTGTAGAACCCCATACTTCTGCAAGAAAGGGCAGAGTGGGGTGAGGGTGAGCTATGTAGGGAGTAGACAATTTCTCCTCTTTTGCAATGCAATCCCACTTATGTTTATACCAACGTAAATCCCACTCAGTTGTGTGGGGCTAAACTTCCTACTGAAGAAAATATATAAAAGGCAAGAAAAGGGCTGCCAAATTCATCCCCTTAAAGGGAATGTTGCAAATGCGACTCTGAAAAAAAAAATTCTTACTGGTTGATACTTTTTGCTGGAGAGGTGAAATGGCAAATGGCATTCCTGGGAGAAAGTCTAATAAATTGTCCAGTGTAAGTCATTATCCTCTGGAAAGGTTTGTTCTGTCACTGCTACAATCTTAGAGACCTATTCATGCTTCTACAATTTCTCCTCCCCTATAAAACTCAGCTGCTTTTTTCTCCCAGAAATCCATATTTTTTTGGTATAATATAACAGAAAATTGACCAGTGTTTAATTTTTTTGTGGGTGTTTCCCGAAGATATTGTCCCTAGTTTTAAAAATGAGATGAGACTACTTCATGGAGTTTTAGATAAATGAACATTAATTTGGAAAGGATGGTTTACTTTCAGAGGCTACTTGCTTAGAAATCTGTCTTGCTTTAAAAAATTTTAAGGCTGTCCTTTGTGGAGAAAATGCTAGGAGATTACCAGTGGGATCCACCAAGGTTCTCCTTGCTTTCTTCTCCATTGAATCCAGAGTCAGTGGGAATTTTTGGCCAACTTGCTAATGACTTTCTAGGGTCCTGGAATCCTGATACAGTTCCTAGCCACAGATTACAGGAGCTCAAACAAGGATTAACAAGGCCAGGCAGAGGAAGAAATGAAGAATCTCCTTATCTAAAGGCTCTATTGACAAATAATAATTAATGAATTGTATATTGGGGAAAGTCAATCCTGAATGGATGAGATTCATGAAACTAAGAGCTATATCAGGTTGGTGCAAAGTCACAGGGTATTGTTAGACTAGCAAATTTTTAAGTAGGAAAACTGTTCCTGAATTATATTTTCCTCAATTATAAACAGGGTGATCAGAACCAGTTTGGTGTATTGGTTAAGGCACCAAGACAGAAAATAGAAAGTTATGAGTTCCAGTCTTGCCTTACATAGGAAGCAAGCCTGGTGACCTAGGCCAATCACTTTCTCTCAGCCCTAATAAAGAGGGAATGGCAAATTATTTTTAAAAACCTTGCCAAGAAAACTGAAGGGTCTTGTCCAGGAATCAGACAAAAAAAGTTTGTGTCTAGAGTGAGTGAGTGTGTGGTAGGGATGAGTGTGTGTTTGCTTGCTAAAGTGAGAGAAACTTCACTCAGGTACAAAACTTAAGAATTTAGCCTAGACTTATTTTTCTGTGTATACAAATAACACGTGTTTATCTAGATCCATAAGTTTTCATAGCTTGAAGCAGTAGAGTCCAGCTTTTGCAATTTCCAGATTTGGTTATTTTTTTTCCTCTTTGGTGCTTTTATAAAGTGAAATAGAATGCCTTGAGCTGCTTGCAGGATGTAAGAAAATACATTAAGTCTTTTTCCTTTTCATTTATCTTAAGACGATTCCTGGATAGAAATCACTCAAGAATAGGAAGTGTGAAGCTAAATCTGAAAACCTAAATTTAGGGAGTAAGCCCCATTGGTCACAGAAGTGGATTTACTTCTCAGGCTAGGGAAGTTTTATCTTACTAAATTGCATCTTTTCATACAAAATTAAGTTGGTCCATGTTTGTTAATTACATTAAATGAAATAGAGTTTATTTATGTACTATCAAGCTTGCATGATGCCCAACTCACTGAAGGAATCCCAAAGATCCAAGTCTATTCAATTAATCTACTTTGGGGATTTAGACCATTCAACCATCAAACTAATCAAGTTGCCTGATTTAGCAAAATAGCTGACTGCCCCCAATTCATGCTAAAACTAACCAAGTTACGCTTGCTTGTGAATGTAACTACTGAACCATTATCCTTAAAGGTGTTTGGCAAATCCAGTCAATGCCAACAGTCTTTCATTTAACTAGGAAGGAAACTAGTTCAGTGGATGTTCCTCCATTCAGTAGTCATTTTTCACCAAGGAAGTAGGACTTCCAACCACGGTTCAGGTCTTACCAGGGGAAAGGACTTGATTCTAGCCAGTTCTTGAATAAGCCCACTGTTAACTGTAGGAAACTTAAGTCTCCAACCTAGCTATCAATGGTTCTGCTCTAATCCTATCAAGGTCCAATCAACCACTGTCTCCTAAAGTACTTAGCATATTATTTATTTAATTTATTGGCTGCTCAACTCCAGTAGGCTCTGGACAATATAAAAAAAAACTATTTAAATATTTTCTAGTCCATTTAGAGGTTCTATTGCTGCCACAGGACACATAATGACCTTGGATTGTCTTCTGGCCTCTTCTCAGCTAAGCTGGACAGAAGATTTGGTAACTGGTAAAGTTGGAGTTCTGTCAAACTGACTTCAGAAAGCAGGTTGGCCAGAGATGTTTGTGGACTGTTGCATCCAGTTTTTTTTGACTGGGATGACTCTGGAGGAGCACTTGGGAGAGTCATTCCTGGAACTGTGTTTCCCTTTGCTCCCCTCCTTCTGCCCACCTAGCAGGAGTTTCTTCAAGATCCAACTTTGGGTCTTAGAATGAAGGTCCGCTCCAAGACAATAGATGGGGTAGCATACCAAGACTGAGCACCGTGGAAGCAGATCTTTCAGATCTGGCTTCCCTTGTATGGATACAGAAGAACAGCTTATTCAATGAGAACCTCCATCATCTCAGCCAGTAGAGTTTGGTATCCGGGTAGGAGGTGGATGGGGTTGTGGGTGGGTGGGTGTTTTGTAAAACAGCGTACAAAAGGTGCCCCTGGGGAGACGGTTGCTCCAGTTTCTTCCAGAGTTTGTCTACCTCATCCCTGGTGAACTGCACTCTCTCTCTAGCCATCTCTCACTTAGCCCCTTTTCTGCACCCATCCTTAGTAATAGGGTAAAATGCATAGGAAGTTCTACTCAAATCTCACAAGTCAGCAAGTTATCTAAAGCAGTGTTTTTTTTTTCAACTTGGCAACTTTAAGACAGGTGGACTTAAAGCTCCCAGAATTCCCCAGCTAGTCCACACCTCTTAAAGGTACCAAGTTTGGGAAAAGGTGCTCTTTTAACAAAAAAGCTATTCTAGAGTTCTGGCTCTGTGGCAGCTTACTTGCCTTAGGATGCTCAGGCTTGGGCAAAAGTTCTGGCTGCTTGCCAGGCCTCTACTCTTTGTCTGCTTACAGGTGGGAGGCATCCCCCGTGGCTAGCTTAAGAACCCCTTAAACAAAGGGGAAATAAATGATTCAGTTAGTAACACAGAGATCACCCAGGAGAAAGTCAGGGCCACCCGATCTGGATTGTAAAGCTCTTGAGATGACCCATCTGATTACCATCCGGAGCTAGAAGCCCTCCATAAGGATCTCTCGTCCCCCACTTTGGGCCCATTCGAATATTTCGGCTGGGAGGGAAATCCAGGTCTTCTGGCCACACAATTCTGTTCCCTCTGCCGGGATCGCTTGGCCACAGGGGAGCTGCGGGGTGGGGGGAGGAAGCACCGCGTGTCTGGCTCCCGCTGTGGGACTGGGTTTCCCCTGCCCAGCCAGCCCGGCCGTGATAACCCCCACCCCACTGCGCCGCCAGCTGTTCTGACTCCCTCCGCCACGCTCGCCTCTCCTCTGCTTGCTCCCGGCAGCGCTGCAAGGACAAGCTGAACGCGCTGGCCATCTCCGTCATGAACCAGTGGCCGGGCGTCAAGCTGCGCGTCACGGAGGGCTGGGATGAGGACGGCCACCACTCTGAGGAGTCGCTGCACTACGAGGGCCGCGCAGTGGACATCACCACCTCGGATCGAGACCGCAGCAAGTACGGCATGCTGGCGCGCCTGGCCGTCGAGGCCGGCTTCGACTGGGTGTACTACGAGTCCAAGGCGCACATCCATTGCTCTGTCAAGGCCGGTAAGCCGCGGGCGAGGTGGGGCCACCCTCCCAGGCGTGGCGGGTCTGCTAACCTTGGCCAGGGTGCAGGGAACCCGAGGGATGGTAAAAACGAGCAAGGCGCTGGCGGACACCCCTACCAGGACGAGGCGCATCCTCGGGTCTCCCCATTCTCGAGGGAGAAACTGAGATCTTTCTTAAAATTGCAGAAGGGGCAAGTAGTAAACTGGTAATACCACCTACTGCGAAAGGGCAGGGTATTCCTGTTTATGCTGAAGGGGTCTCGGGGGACCTGCCAGAGATTTGATACTGCTAGTTGGAAGCAACACAATGCTTTGGCTGAGTTTCCCATTTATTTAGCATCCAGAAGGTGTTAGTTGTGAGATAAGAAGTGTGGCTCCTGTGTTTTACCAATCCAACTAGATCCACCACCACCCCACCGCCCCCCCTCCCGGTGAAAATGCTGGATTTGGGAGGACAAGGTTCAGCCCATCCCCCTCCTCCATAGATGTTCCCTGGATGACCTTGGCCAAGTGCGTGCTCCTCCCCCCCTCCCTCTCCCCAATCTACCTCACAGGATTGTTGTGGGAAAAAGTAGACGAATGGACTATGTGTTACGTATGCCAGTTTTGAGTTCTTGTATGACAAATGGGGTGTGACTCACATCAGCGTTTTTCAAACTCTGGCTACTCGAAAATGAGAGGACTTCAACTCCCAGAATTCTGAAAGTTCACCCATTTTCAAGGTGCCAAGTTTGAAAAAAAAAAACATTGAAATAAATGAACCTTTTCTTTAGTAACTCTTTTATGTACTATCAACCGTTGTCTGGAAACCTTCAATTAGCCAAGAAGGAGATGGGAAGGAGGGTGGGAAATGTCGGGGAACTTGTCTGAGTAACTGGGGACCTGCTGGCCTTAAGAGACAGAAAACCTTTGCTGCGTCTTCAAGAGGGCTATGAAAAATGTCAGGGACCGAAATAGTCTTCAGGAAGGCGAGGGATTAAAATGTAATGACTGACTGCTTCTAACCCTTTCGCCCAATCCCCGCATCCTCAAACGAAGGGACTTTGGGGCATTCCGGTCCCCCTCCTTCGGCTAAGCGCAAAGAGCCCCGCCCACTCTTTTCGCGAGTGGATGAGAACGTGAGAATCCGCCTCGCGTATCCAGAGCAGGGCGATTCCGCGCTCAGTGCTCTGTTCCCAGCCAAGGTCGGCCAGCATCTGCTCTTCCCCCAAGTGGGATGCTTCAGTTATTTTTGCTGGAGCATCCTAGACAGGGACTCTCTTGCAATCGCCTCGGCCGCGGGTGGGAACGAGGGAAGCTGCTGGCTGGGACTTTGTGACCGTCCGGACGGGTCTGGTGGGCAGAGCCTAAGTAAAATTCCTAGCCGTCGACAGGGCAGGGCTACTCGGCGAAGAGCTGAAGCCCACCGAGGAAGGATCATCCCTTCTCGACGCCGTTTCCACGCCGCTTAACCTCTTCAGAGGGGAGCTGAGACCCTTGAACCCAAAGCAGGTCTTCCCGGACCCTTCACCAATCAGCCACAACTCAGTTTGTCAGAGCCAAACCATCCCAAGCAGGCGGGGTGAGTTGTGGCTCCGCGGGTCTCCACTCCCAAGTGGTCCCCCCTTCCAGAGAGATCCGGGAAGCCCTGGTTCTGGTTCCTTTTAGAAATCGCAGGGCGCCCCGTTTTCTTGCTTTCAACCAAAGACCCCCCCCTCTTCCTACACACACACACACACACACACACAGAGAGAGAGAGAGAGAGAGAGAGAGAGAGAAGGATGGAGAGAGAGAGGGAGGGAGAGGGAGAGAGGGAGAGAGAGAGAGGGAGGGAGAGGGAGAGGGAGAGAGGGAGAGAGAGAGAGGGAGGGAGAGGGAGAGAGGGAGAGAGAGAGGGAGGGGGGAGGGAGGGAAGGAGAGGGAGGGAGAGAGGGAGAGGGAGAGAGAGGGAGAGGGAGAGAGGGAGAGAGGGAGAGAGAGAGAGAGGGAGGGAGGGAGGGAGGGAGAGGGAGAGAGAGGGGGCAGCCTGTTCCCCCTTCTGAAGCCTTGGTTCCAAACCGGGCAGTTTAAGCCAGGAGGAGGTGGAAGGTGGCGGCGGTGTCCGCGCGGTAGGCAGGAAGGTGGTTTTGCAGTGACTCGAGTTCATTCATCCCGAGTAACGCTGCGCGCGCTGAAGCCGTGCTAGGATCCCGCTCACCCCTTTAGACACCCGTCCCCACTTAGGGCTTGGATTCGCATGGCTGAGCTGAGCCTTTTGATCACACCCTGATCCGGATCCAGAGCATGCAGGTGACCTTGAAGGAACTTTGTTCGTATGTCCCGTCTCGGGTTGGGACTTTTGCCGAAACCATCAGCTCCGGCTCTCTCCCCCCCCCCCCAGGATGCCAGCTTAGGGATGGGAAAGAGCGAAGGGAAGCAGACACGTTTCTCGCTTCTCCGCCGGTCCTGTGGCCGCCGAACCACTTTAATCCGGCGTTGATATTTCAGTGGGGCAATAAAACAACCTGCCGGAGTTCGTCCTTCCCTTTGCCGTCGTCGGGAAGACGGGAAAGCTGCAGTTTCTTTCGGAGCTCCGCTTTTTAAAATAAAGTATTCCTTCGTGCTTCGAGCGCCCCTTGCTGGCCCAGTTGAGAAACGCAGTCTCGGGGCGCGTGTTGCTTGCCCGCCTTCTGCGCAAATTGTCGCTTTCAAGCAAAACAGTTAACAGTAAACTTTTTTGTGGCGGAGACGCCTTCTTGTTTTGCTGCTTCTCCTCCTTTGTTGACTGGCGCTTAAAGAAAACACTCTCAAAGTGCCAAGAAACACGCAATCGAGATGAAAAAATAATTAACTGCCTCTAAATATATCGACTAATGTGAGAAGTAGCAAAGGATTAAGAGAACCAGCGTGATTCATTACAGGACTGGATTCCCCAAGTAGATTTCCTAAAAAGTAACTTTTTTCTCCGTCAGTCTATCAGGATCCTTTATAATTATTTTTCATTGGAGATTGACTTTTTGCTCAAGTCAAAGACCCTGTTTTTATTTTTGCAAGGTATGGGCTAAAATCCCCTAAGCAAATTTTAAAATAATGTGAGCTATAATCCCAGCCATGTGAGGATACCATAGACTTTATATTTTCAGTTTGGAAAATATAACGTCCCAGATGATTAGCTTGCAATAGAATTAGAGAAGTGACTTCTCTCATTTAAAGCCCAATGTCAGTCACAATAGTGATTATTTCTATGACTGATGAGTCAGAAGGCAGGACCAGAAAAAACCATTGGATTCTATTTTTATTTTGTAAAACAGCTTATTAAGTAAAAAAAAAAGTGAAGCGGTTTGATGTCTTAACTTTGACAGGAATATTTGATCCCTTTGATTTTCTTGGCCGTTTCTTTGCCTCCCCTCTGGGAGATGAGAGCCCTGGATGTGTGCAGTGCAGTTCATACCACAGTTAGTCCTCAACTTACAACAGTTCATTTAGTGACCATTTGAAGTTACAACAGCACTGAAAAAAAAAGTGACATGACTATTTTTCACACTTATGACTATTGCAGCGTCCCTGTGGTCATGTGATTTACATTCATATGTTTGACAACTGATTCGTATTTATGACGGTGGCAGTGTCCCGGGGTCATGTGATCCCCTTTTGCAACTTTCTGACAAGCAAAGTCAATAGGGAAACCAGATTCACTTAACAACCATGTTACTAATTTAACAATTGCAGTGATTGGCTTAACAAATGTGACAAGAAAAGTCGTGAAATGGGGCAAAACGTACTTAACAAATTTCTCACATTGCAACATAAATTTTGGGCTCAGCTGTGGTCGTAAATTGAGGACTACCTGTATCCTATCCTATCCCATCCCATCCCATCCCATCCCATCCTATCCCATCCCATCCCATCCCATCCCATCCCATCCCATCCCATCCTATCCTATCTATCCTATGCTAACCAGCTTGCTGTCATTCCATTGTAGGGAATGTTGCCTTCTCAGAATTAAGATTCAGCTTGTTGCCCTCTTAGTTTCTGGATCCAGAATCAGTCATGTTGCGCTAGCCCTGGTATATTGGGATTTTTATTTAATATTTATTTTGTGTCTTTGAGTCAGTGTTGTCTCCTGTCATGTCTCTGCGCTTTTCTCAAAAGTGGTTGAGCATTGCCTATTTCCCAGGACACAGAGAGAGAGAGACTGGCTCAAAGCCACCCAGTTGGCACTGTGCTTAAGGCAGGACTAGAACGTATGGTGTTCCTTCTAGCCTGCTGTCTTAACCTCTACAGTACACCAAACTAACTTTCCTGACTTAGTTTGATCCAAACCACAAAGTGAGGGGTGGAGGCTCCATTTCTTCTTTGATCCAGGGAGCCAATGTTGAGCCTAGGACAAGTGTGAACTCTGCAGGCAGAATCTGACCTATATTCATGTGGATGCATGTATAAGCGTTTGGAGTTTTGTTTTTGTTTTGCAAGCAGAGATCTGGAACATAAGCTAGAAGGCAAAATTTTACTTCCGCCTGGCTTCCGCCTGGCTTTCTCTTTGTGATTGTTCTGGAGGGTAGTCCTAGACAGGGATGGTCCTCACCTACCTTGTAGTGTTCTATCTATAATGCTTCAAATGTTCTACCCTCTTCCTATAAACATGTAGAAAACCAGAGTAGTAGCAATTAAAACAAGCATTGCTGCGGTAGTACAAGTGAGGGCTGAACAGAATATTTCCTATCTCCTAGTTTGTTTGTTCAAGCAATTCCTGGGTTATAACAACGTTCTGCAGCCCGTGGCCCTCCAGAAGCATTAGATTAGAATGACGATGTTAGGAGATATAGGCCAAAATCTTTGGAGGGCAGAAGGAACAGCCTGGAGGAACAGAAGGAAAACACAAATCAGATTAAAAAGAGAAAGGAGGAAATGCGTTCAGACCTGCAAGACTTTGTTACTATAGATTTATAATAATAATAGCACTGACCAACATGACACTGGATTTCTAGTCTGATCTGTCTTGAAGGGAGCATTAAGGCTATCAATAAGGATTAATAAAAT